TCCAATTTACCAAAACGTTGAATTAACTTCTTCATGGGAAGTGCAAACGGTGCTAACAATCCCAAGGGATCATAAAGTGGGGCTACATTCGATAATATAATTCGCCTAGTGAGGGTACGTTTAGGTACGCGAAATTTAAATTCAAACGAATCAACCATATTATTCCAATATAATCCCAATGTGCGTTCCGTAGGAAGTCTCTCAAAGTCAATCTCTCTTACGGTTTCTGCTCTCTCTTCTGGATGAATTGATTCGAGAACTTGTAAACAGTTACTTATCCACTTGGTAAGTCTAAACCCACCTTTTCTGAGGAGAGAACCAAGGACCTTTGCCAGCTCATTTGCATACTGCACATTATCAATGGAGGCTAAATATTCGTCGACATAGAAACTTTTATCTATGACTTTCTGGACATCACTAAATTCCTAAACGAATGTATCTACCGTCTTCTTAAGAGCGAAATTAGCGCAAAAGAGGGAGGACACGGCTCCAAACGGATGAACTGTTAAACAATATTCCTTAGGCTTCCGTTTTATATCACCGTCTTCCCACCACAATAGACGAAACGATCCCCTATCTTGTCTAAGGATCTTTTCTTGAAGAAACATCTCTTCGATGTCAGCGGCTAATGCTACGTTACCTAGTCTGAACCGTAGAAGTACACCAATTAAACTATTTACAGTATTTCGCCCTCTCAAAAGCTGATCATTAAGAGAAAAACCTTGATAGACAGCTACACAATCAAAAAATTCTGAGTTTTCCAGGCTTTTTAGGGTTAATAACAGGATGATGAGGAACAAACAACATCACGGTCAAATCCCTCCTTACTAGCTTCAATGATATAGCCTTTACTTAAATGTTTATTCATCACAACTTGATATTTCTCAAGAAGACTACTATCTTCCACGAACCTCTTACTTAAACACTCTAGTCTGCGTTAAACTAGTTCCAAATTATTTGGTATCCTTGGCTTATCATACTTCAACGGTAGAGCAACTTGGAAATGGCCACCCTCCAGTCTGAAGGAACTACTTACTAGTTCTAGAGCTCTAATGTCTTCGATCGAATATCCATTACGAAACATGCCTGCATCTTCGAACTCATGATTATATAATCTTTTTATATCCCGCAAAACATTATTAGTAGAACAATGACACCACTGAATTTGCTGTAGAGACCTTGATACTACTTTAGGGCCTATAATCATCCTACCGAGATGCGTACGCACACCAAACGGATGTTTCTTGTCACCCAGGCGTTGTTCCAGAACCCACTGTGCATCTGGAGCATCACACCCAATCAATACTCCTACAAGATTACTTTGCAACCTCGGAAGGGTTGTGTTTTAGTGACCCGTGGCTCTGACTCCTGTTTAGACCGTATGGATGTTTGCTATCGCTTATTCTCGTATATCATCGTCGGCTTTGATCACGTTAGTCAATAACGGAATTAAATAAGTCAAATAAAGTGAGTGAAATTTTGAATACAGGAATAGAAGAGACGCAGAGTGGAGATGGCTGGTAAGACAACTCATTTTTAGTCAGGCGTTAATTAATATTTATAGGCAGACAAAAATAAGCTACAGACATGTGATTAGACATGGGATATGAATTGTACACACATATACTCTCACATAAAAACAATCAAGACTGATAAGCGAATAATTGACAAGGTCAAAACATGACTCAAGTAGAATTAATAGAATGGGATGTCCGAAAGCTTAAATAAGGTATATAGGCTTAACATAATAACTGACACTACAATGTCCTTCAACTTTTTCCACTGTCTCAGCTGAAGTTCGGTTACAGCTTCTGCATAATCGATCGGAAGTTTCTTGAACTTATAAGCCTTGTTGGTCCTTATAGAACCCCGTTCATCTGATGAAAAAATACCTCTAAATTTACTTCCAGATATTCACAAGTAGTAGTTTCATTCACAGTCGTCACTTTTATCGAAGTCTTCTTACCTTTGAGACCTAACTGATTTATTAACTCTTCACATACAAAAAGAGTATCTGAACCACTATCTAAAAGGGCGTATGTTTCCAAACATCCTTTGGGACCGTATAGTCTGACCGCAGTGATACCCAAACAAACCTTTGAGGAGTTCTAATCCTTAACTAAGTTCACCACATAGTTATCGATACCATCAATATGTAACGAATTATGCAGAATCTTGCATTAATCAACGTCACATTTGAAGCCCGAGTTGTATGACATGGCTATGTGGCCTTTCATCAAGCTTGGATAACATGGACCACATCTTCTTACTTCCTATCTCCTTTCTCTTACATTCATTTTTGTTAACATTGGACAATCTGTCGCCTTATGATCACCTAAGCAGATTTCACAACGTGAAACCTTGACTGAGTTGTTTTGGTCTCGCCTAATTGCATGGAGGCCTGGTCTCCTATCAACTTGGTCTTCATAATTCCTTTTCCCGAACCTTGGGTAACACAGTACTAATCTACCATAACGTGTTCCAATAATTCTGGCCCTCTCTTCTACAAAGACCACAAATTCTTCAAAGCTCGGCTCCTTCCCGTGCATCATGATCTTATCGGCGACTTCCAACCACTTATTCTGTAATCCTAGTGGTAGGCATGAAACTATTATTTTCAAATTAGCCGTAGAATTAACATCAGACGTCTACCCCATTTCCTTAAACGTGATACATACATTACGTAGCTTAATCGCGAAGTCAGTTAATACGTCAGCTGATCCTTCAACAGATTTATGGTTTAATAACTCAGTAATTAGTTCTCGTGCAACAAGGTGCTCCTTACCAAATAGATCATATAGAATTCGTTTAGCCCTATCATAACCTAAATGACTGGACAAAGAAATGCATGCGTCAATAACCGTTCTGGCCTTTCCTTTACAATAATATAACAGATACGACAACAAATGGCCCTTATCGGACGGTTTACTCTCTATAATGCTAGTAAACTGACTAATAAAATGGTAGTACTAACCTGGTTGTCCATCAAAATACATCATATCAATCTTAGGTAAAACCATGTTAACGATAGTATATAACGAATCCTTCAACTCATTAACCCAATCGCCTTTTGAGATGTTAAATATCTTCCTTGAATGATTATTACAACCAGTCACACTGTTGAAATACCTTTCAACCTTAGCATTCATCTCACACTTGTCTACGGGCAGCTGGTCATCGTCTTCGATGACCTTACATTCTCATTCAGCCATATCAACTTCTTCTTGGAGATCTAACATCTTAAGCTGACTTTCCAAATCAAGTCTCGTTTTTAAGTTCCTCTTTCTTAGTAATTTTTACTCAACTTTAATCTAGAAGTACTAAGCTGATCAGAAGACATACTATTAATACTGAATCATCACGTTTATCTGCATTAACATCAGACATACCACGAACAGCTTTAGAAATTTTACTTTCCACCTCGTCATTTTCCTTCGGACTTTTGCTTTGCGTTTCCATCGTGTCTTTGTTCATAAAGAATCGATTACCAAAACAAATCTGAATTAATCCAAACGAAACCGACCAACACGACCAGGAAATTGGACCCAAAATATCGAGACAAATCCAAGGTATGAACACAGAACCAATAATTGAAGAACTTTATGTTACGTCCCAGTTTTTGTTCGTTCCTGTTATTGAAGTACGATATATCGATCTGTTTGCGATTTACAAACCCAAATTAACAATTGAACGAAGCTCCAATTTAGGTACTAAAGTTTACTCGCAATTTACAAATAGTCGACTCAAATGTCGTTCCTACAAGCCCTTATGCAGAACATGTGCTTATCCCGGCAAAACATAGACTTTATGAACTACTAGTAACGAATACAGATTCAGTTACACACGGTTCAAGAAATATGAAGATCTGTCTTAAATTTCTTTATAATATCCGTTGCCAATGCTTGAATATAACGAGAAAACAGCAGGTGACTGGACGAAGCACGCAGGAACCGTGAGCTGAGAATGTTAGCGGTTCACTCGTCTCCCGATATGGAAGACCAGTTTAACTGCTTTGTATATATGTGTGACCTGCATTTATCGGGGATGCTGATACCCAAACGAGAATCCTAAGCAACCTTGAAACTGTCCCGGCACTACCCTGCAAGAAGTACCTCGTGAATGCCGAAGATTGGTGAATTTGAAACATAATAGTTCGATGATATAGAACGGTATCCGGATTCTTCACTTCAACATAGTCGAGAGAAAAGACTCACACAAAATTATCGTAACGACAGCAGCAATACACCACCCCCATGCCGGTTGACCTTTAAGGTTTTGTCGGTGTAAAGATCATCGTTGTACATGTTTTAAAAAAGGACACACAGAAAGAACCGGCTTCCATGACCATGTAAAATACGTTTCTTTTGAGATTAATGAGGACGATACCCACTTATAATTGAACACGGCTTCCGACATGACACTTATAATCAGAAGAATGTGGAAGATTGAGAGATCGCGAATATGTCCAACTCAGCAATCAGCACACATTGCTTCCTGAGGAACGTTAAACATTGTTAAAGCGATAGATTATGAAGTCACAGTCAAGGACATATCGGGTAAGGGAGTAGTATTTCTGACAACGTTCACCACCAGACTTATTGAGACTTGATTGGACAGAGAGGCTGAGGATAACAGACCTCCCCGTAAATATCATCTGCAACATCAGTACAACGAAAGTGGAAGCATTATTAGGACGATATAAAATGGTGTTTAGTGTGGGGCTTGAATAATGCACTAAACATAAAGCTGCTCTTGCCTTTCGACAATGTTTTGACCAAAACGACCGGTACAATATGCTGCTCTCCCAGTAGTCAAACGACCTTATAAATTGGGTCTTGTTGAACTTCTCAGAATGGGCTGCACTGATAGAGCTAGATAAAGACCAACGGTAGCGTCCGTTACTCGACCTGGCTAAACGAAGCCCTAGGATCTCATCAATACCCCTTACACCTACCTAAAGGTCTTCTTCCCAGGCTGAATGGAGGCAAGTTCTTTGCAAAGTTGGATTTGTCGGAGGCATATTTACAAATTCTGGTTGGTGGCGTGTAAAGATCTGACACATTTAAAGTAGTATTACTGGAGACGAGGGGACAAGTTAGACAATTACAAAATTCTTGACAGCTCATAGAACTACGCTCAACCCTACTGTCGCAGATGGAAAGAAGTATTCAAACTACATTTCACGCCATGTTGCCACCTAAACCAATAGACAGACGCAGACAAAATCAGAATATCCAAAGTTTTAACGTGGGTGATAAAGTAGTCATCAAGTCATACCTTGGAAAAAATCAGTGGGAACCTGGAGTCATTGAGAAGATAATAGGAAATGTCTTGTATAAAGTACGTGGAGCATTTGGAATACAAATAAGACACACCAACCAAATCCTCAGAGAAAAAAGCACGTTGGAAACAGTAGGCAGACAAGTAAATTTTCCAGTGAAGATAATTACAGATACTCCAATGAAAGGAACGCTCTGGGACACTCATAGTCGCTGGGGACACCAGGAAAGTTGGAAGGTAGTCATCAAACTGCAAATAGATTTGAAGAAAAAGGCTCATTAGAGATTAACTATTATTTTGTGTGAATTAACTCTATTTATTCTTTAGTGTTTAAAACTAAACAAACAAAATCTTGTACCAAATCGATTATCTAATGATATCAATCTCAAAGTAAATAATGTAAAGTCGATAAGGTAGTTTAGAATTTATTATGGTTATTCCAAAAAAACAATACATGAGATAAAAAAATCATTGTGCAAACACACACAATGTACACTATACCTTAATTTCCTATTAAACAAGTTAACTGATGATGACAGTAAAAAAAAGCAAAGTAACGTATCAGAGAATAAACAATTAACTTCAACAAGAAATGAAGAAAGAAGACTTTAAACTTTGAAATTAACTGACCATTTATCTTACAAAACAAAAAAAATCTATACATAATAGAATAATGTACACATTGTAAAATTATTTTCATAATACAACACTAATAATATAAATTTACTTTGAGACAAGGTATGTATTTATGTAATTATACTAACAGTCAAAATAAACAATCTATACAAAGAAAAAAAAGTTAACTGCGATTACTTTTTTATTTATTTACGTCTAGAACTGAATTTGTACTTCGTAAAAATTCGAAGAATTAAACACAGTAAAACCATAGAACAAAATTAGTCGATATGACTAGGTTAGCAAATAAAGAGAGAAACATTTACAATATATTACTATGGATTTAACTGTAAAGTTCAATAATAATAACAATGATCAAGTAACAATAACAGTATTGAAAGAAAACAAGATCGAAGAGAAATAACGAGATCCGATGAAAATAAATTGCAGTTGATGATTAACAGTTGTGTATTTACTGTACAAATTAACTAGAAAGATAACAGTTAATGTTAAATAATGGGTGGGAGTAGAGAAACTTGATTATAGTTCTACTACACTAAAACAGGATGGATAGACGTTGACTCACAAAGGAAATTCCGATGGATTGAATAACGCAAAAAAACTAAATTCCATAGTTAGTTTGTTCAAATGCAAATACATAAGTGGTGTAAATATAACTACCGGATTAATAGACTACATCATTAACAGTATCACAGTAAACAAGAAATGGGACCTAAACGGTCTTCCTACCGGAAATAAATGAATCAGAAATGAAGGTAAAAAGACTAGGAGGTAAGATTAAATCTGGACCATGAATATCACTTTGTTTTGTAATCGAACTGAAATGATCGACTGAAGCACAGTGATTAGATTCCATATTATTTTGTAAGTAGTGTTTGGGATAACGTACAGAGGTTAGATTGATCAGAGAACGAGTGGGTCGCAAACGATTAATATTCCGTGTTTGAATGGGATTTCGAGGTACACTGGAAACATTAAACATATGAAATTCGTTCCTGGGAACAATAAAAAACTGCTTGTCTGAATTTTTATCCGCAGATATCCACATATGTGGTCTATCGGATTCCTCGATATGCATAATCGAATCCGCATCTAAAGATAACCTGTTAAAAGTAAGAAATATGAATGTACTCAGAAATAAACAGAAGCCTCAGAATTAAAAAAAAATGTAATTTAAGTGTATAAAAAGAATCGAGGAATATGCTTTAAAAAACCAGATCTATAGATATAAGACGGTAAGTCTAATCAAAATAATATTTAGTGTAAACACAGACGTTGAGTCATAGAAAAGATCTCAACGGATTTAATAACGCAGAAAAATAGGGTCTACGATTATTTTGTTCAATTGCAAATACATGAGTGGTATAAATACAGCTATTCGGTAAACAGAGCAGTTTTGTTGCTAATAGCTGGCTTACTACCTTCGTTTAGTCACGTCAGTTCAAATTTGGATGAAATTGATGTAAAGAACATATCAGACGATCATTAAACTAACGACGAACACTTAAAATATAACCTGCAGCTAGTAATTATATAAATACAACTCAGGATAATCTTTTGGTGAACGCTGGGAAAAACTCTCAGGAAATTCATGGACTGTTTCAGTGAAGAGGGTCGGAACTACTAGAAAGATACACTTGCAGATTTATTATTGATCGCCGACGAACTTCTACTATGTCATCCGATCGCCATTCTATGCTCATTTAGTTTAGCCTAGTGAGATTCGTTTTTGTTTCGTGAGTGAAAAACGATAGAGGTAGTAACAGGGATGATGTAGAGACGAGGCAGTAGAAGAGTATTATATTATGGGACTTCCAGGGACACTCTTAACAAAGTAATCAGAGATAGGACTAATGTGTCGTCATAAATCGGGGTATGTCGAAGGAGGTAAGATTGAAAAGCCATGAACTTTGTAAAAGAACTTTATTATAACTTCACTTGAGAACAGTCCCCTGAGTATAATTGGTTGAAAACAGTCACGTCTTTATTAAAGATCTTACACATACAGTTGTTGGATCTGAACATGTAATTAAAATACCGTACTATTGATTAGTTTTAACAAACTCGATATATTTTGAAAGAACGAATTGTAAAATGACAATAGTATAGTGTTTTACGTATAAATATTTCAATATAACGTACTAACATATCCTAGAGATGACATATTAAAATGTAGAAATCCTCAATGATAATAATTATGTCTCACAAGATCCCTTTGAAGATGAAATCTAAGAAGTAAAAAATAATTACCCATTAGTAGAACATGTTAGTTTTATCTGTACTATTTGTCAATAACTATGTTCACACTATGAACGTTCAATAGGTGTTGTAAACTGAATACACTTGACCTAGGTTCTTAATTAACTAAAGACAGGGACAGTAGGTGATGGTTATGTTTCTCGAAAAGACAACATAATTTAGTAAAGACATTGTGAAGGAAGGAAAAACTGATTAGTACTGACATCAGTAGACGAAAATAATCTCTAAACTAAAATACTACGAAACGATGCATCTTTTATTTTCTGACTAGAAGCGTGAATGACTAATTTACGGATAGGAAGTATGAATCGATGGACGGAAAATAGTGAAGTTCAATAAATAATGTTTGACAATCAACTCGACTAATACTTATAAGACCTAACCAGTCTTTGTTGGGATATGTGCATTCTGTACGGATTGGCTCGACAGTAACACGTATTATAGAATAGATGGATTATGGCAAGATTCAAGATACCTATTTTGTCCTACTTGGAACTTGTAATATGGATGTGACTGCATCCCAATATTGATGCTCACAACGGGACTCAAATCCAGTACATTTCGCTTGATATCAACACCGAAAACCAGATAATTTAAACCTTACCAATAATCTTATTAAAATCATACTCGTTCTACAGATTAGTGGCCATCTGGAAAACGCATTGAGTACTAGTTTCTAGTTCTGGTGTGAACATCATCAGGGGATTTATTTTCGATACTAATAGCCAGAAAAACCAAACATGATCTCAACATTAACCATTTGTACTAGTTGCATTGAAAAACGAATAGATTCAGAGATAAACGGATTTATAGTCTGCCAGGTATGAGCGAAAAAGTATGAAATTATTTTAGAATTTGAATTTTTAATGTTGAACGTCGAGATTTTCTAATCAGCTAAGAACCCAAACATTTTTAGTAGCTGCTTTAATTTCCAAAACGTTATTTTGTTCTGTGTATCCCCGGGTTAATTATGAAATAAAAATATGGACTAAATGCTTCATATTGTTGCTTTTTATGGAAATAGTAGTTTTCTTACAAAAGACTAAACTTTTCCTTAATATGTACGGGTGAGTTAAAAACACAGATTGTTATTGTAGCGTAACAATAAATTATACTATGGTTGTAGAGTTAGTTTTCAATGGGAATATAAGGAATAGTTAATCTTAATCTATTGGATTACATGAATAACACTAAACTTAACTACACAGTTAAACTTACTTAAGTTGATTATCAGATAACAAATTATCAAATTCATCTAGAATATTCGATGTTGCATTGTTTATAAGTGTGGTATTTGAACGTTTCTGTTTTCTAATATGTAAAGTATTCCCAGTTGAATATGTATACTGATCAGTTATTAGTTCAGGAGATTTCATAATTAATTGACTAGTTTCATCGATTGACTGATAACTCGGAGTGGTGGAAATAGGACTTGTCGAAAGATTGAATAAAACATTAGATGTATTAATAGCATTAGGAATAGATGTATCAAATGATGTAGTATAATTATCAAACACGGGAGGTAGACTAGATGATTCGCCAGATTTAGACATAATATTTAGTTCTTTGCTTTCATCTGTTACTACTGAAGGAAATAAGGTTTGTCTGTCAGAAAACATTGGAAGTTGATAAAATTCAGTCAACTTTGAATGAACTGAACTATCTGTATACGGATGAGAATTATAGTTATCAGACCAATCAAAAATTGTATGATGGTTGGACAGTGTATTATCACGTAGATTTGTTTGTTCACTAAGACGTTTTTCAGATCCATAATATTTATCACTATTACCATCAGGAAGATTTAGTGGCACTGGTGAAGGTGAACATGATGATATTGGGACGGCTACAGTTGAAGCACTACGTATTGTACGAAAACCACCAACACTATCGATTGCAGCAAGACCAGTCATTGCGGATTCTGATATTATACAAGTGTCTACAGATGGTTGAAACTGATCAGAAAAAGTGCAAATATGGAATAAAAATGTCTATGTCAATTTTATTACTTTCATTGAATAGAGAAAAAGCAAAAAAATATCGACACGAATAAACAATTCGTATGTTTGAAGTTATTACTGTTACAACTAAGGTAAACCGATTTTTGAAACAGGAGGACATCGAGATTCACGAATATTAAGGGAGTCATTCATTTACAGTAATTACAGATATAATATGGAACTTAGATGAATATCATCAAGACATTTAAAATTCTTACTTTTGATCATACAACTTTGACAAATTTCGATTTTGGTATTTATCTGCATAATTTCATCTCTCTCTGCTGTTATTGTGTGATAACTTGAATCAATACAATTGTGTCAGGTATTATGTTTTTTTATGACTAATCACTCATGAAACAAACCTCCGTTTTACGACTTACTGAAGAAACTATTTTTCTCTTTAAAATTAAGTGAAGAATACAGAAACATTATGATACATCTGCTTAAGTAACATTTTTTAAAAAAATATGAGGGTAAAATTCAGTCGAACACCGTCATTACTTGGATAACTAGAGGGAAATAGACAGTTTATGAGCAGTATGAACGCTCAGTCTTTATGTCTTGGAATGAGTACGAAAAGATTTAGTCACAGGAATGTTCTAAACTATGATAAAAAACTAGTTTGCGCTCTCTTTTCTGTTTTGCATGATTTTAAAGGCGGTCATATTAGACTGTAATGCAAAGTTGTTTTTGTGAAATACACGAAATATTTTAGACAATCTACACACCATACTAATGCTACTAACATAATTATCCAAATATAAAATTGATAATCTGAAAACGAATTTTATTCACATACAGGTAATGAATCGATTGTTGTATTCGGTTTCGGTGGATCATCAGTAAGGAATGGTCGAATACAATCTGGATACGCTATTAATACTTCTAACACTTGATTCATTGATGATGGTCTGTGTTGCCATTGATGTTTACAACAATGATTAATTAATTCACATCTTAAAACAAAAATAATCATAATGCATAGAGTTATAATGCAATTAGAGGAAGATTAAAAAAACAAACAAAATCGAAGTAGATAGATATTTGAAGAAAACAAAATACACACAACAGTATTAACAGGAGAATTAGATTAAACAATAAATTATACGGGACAGAGTAGTGGTGATAGAGAATAGCCAACACGATGTAGCGACCAACACAAATTGATATCTTTCGGATATATTCCAATATTCTTTTATAGATTCGGTTTCATCTTTTCGAACTAGATATTTCCAATCGTTATCAATGGTATCGGATTGTTTCGGTGAATTTCGCTGCTCGTATGAGTCAACACGTCATTGTTGTGGCAGTGTTAGGATTGTATAAGTCGTGTTCTGATTGGCGATTTAGTTACGTGATGATTAACGGCCAAATCGACCTTATATTTAAATTGCTAATAGATAGTATACACATAAATACGATTTAACTATAATAAAAATATGAATATACATACACTACGGTATTTAATGCTTGAGGTGGTAAAAATTCAGTAATACTGAATTCCATACGTTTGACACGTTCCACAACTTCTACATCTCCAAGACCATTATAAGGAAATACACCAAAAGTAATAATTTCATATAATGTTATGCCAAATGACCAAATATCCGATTGTATACTAAAAACACCAAATTGTACAGCTTCAGGTGACATCCAACGAATAGGTAGTTCACCTAAAATGAACAGTACAGTAATAATAATAATTTTTACGCAGTAAAAAATTGAAACATGAAATTTATATAATGAATAGTTCGTACAAAAGGTATCGCAGTATATATTATAAATTAACAATTGGTTATGACTCCATTTTTTGAGAAATGAAGTTAATACAAAGGTTATGTAAGAAAAGTTGTATTTCTGACCAATAGAGCAGAAATATAAAATAAAATTAGACATATATTATATTATAGAAACGATAAAAATATTATCAGATATACATTCAGATGTAAATTCTTCAATCAAACTGAGTGATAGCAAGAACAAATATTGATACAGAATAGTATGAATTCATATTATTTCGAGGTTTCTCGTCAGCTGCTTACAAACCAAAAAATGTGATAGAATTTTTACGTTGAGATAGAGTGAAAACAATTGACATAGATGAGTGTAAATAACTGGGTTACAATAATAACTATATATATATATATATATATATATATATATATATATATATATGCTAGAACAGGTCAGAGGTCAAAAGGAATTAATTCGGGTTGGGTGGTGTAATAATGCAATTGAATAATCATAAGATAGGTTACGTAATAATAATTAAATAGAATATGAAAAATTAAGATAATTTGGGAGGATCAGGTGGTGGAAATGCGTAAATATAATCTGGTTTAAGAATTATGTAATAGGGGAGGAATATAAATATTTTAAAGTAAATAAAAATAATAATAATAAAGGTTACCAGGGTAGTGATAAGCTAATTAACGTCTCTTTTTGAATGCATAAGTCAGGTTTAAGTTGTTTGATCATAATAGCTTCAGCAAAACGGAGGGTGGTCGTATTTCTTTGTCTATTGATAATTTTGAAAGCATGAGGAATGTCGATGGTGTGCCCGGTGTCAAGTAGATGTCGAGCTATTGCACTGTTGAAAGCCCTGGTCCCACACAGCCTCAAGTATTTTGGAACGTGCTCAGAAATGCGGACATGCACTCTTCTCTCAGTTCTTCCAATGTATGTGCTTTGGCACGTACATGTAAATTGGTAGATGCAGTTGGAGCTACTAAGAAAAGAGGGCTTGTCGATTTTGGTTTGTTGAAGTGAGCAGTTCGTTTGCCATACTGTCATAAGTTTTGCTGCTGGGTAGGTGACTTTCAACGCGTTTTTGTACCTAAATGTTTCCGATAAACTTATGGTTTCATTTGACGTCACATCGCTTTTCACAAACATCCCCTTGGAAGAAACGATAGAGATCATATGTGATTATCCTGAACTTCTACCGCTACCAATCCATGAGTTTAAACAGCTTCTCTTCTTATGTACAAAAAACATACAATTTCAATTCAATAATGTCCTTTACCGCCAAATCGATGGAGTTGCCATGGCTAGCCCATTGGGCCCGATTCTTGCCGATATATTTATGGGAAACCTAGAACAAAAAACAGCTTAAGCACGTAATCGATGGTACTACACTGTATTGCAGATATATTGATGATAATTCTTAAACCACATTATATTTACGCATTTCCACCACCTGATCCTCCCAAATTATCTTAATTTTTCATATTCTATTTAATTATTATTACGTAACCTATCTTATGATTATTCAATTGCATTATTACACCACCCAACCCGAATTAATTCCTTTTGACCTCTGACCTGTTCTAGCATATATATATATATATATATATATATATATAGTTATTATTGTAACCCAGTTATTTACACTCATTTATGTCAATTGTTTTCACTCTATCTCAACGTAAAAATTCTATCACATTTTTTGGTTTGTAAGCAGCTGACGAGAAACCTCGAAATAATATGAATTCATACTATTCTGTATCAATATTTGTTCTTGCTTTATTTAAATTCATAAAGGGAACCAATTGCATGAGTGATAGCAGTTGAATGACTGAAATATGATTACTATCTAGAATAGGGATGACAATAGTTGACCTGAACATATAATTTACTAACTTATACAATGAATTTTTAACTAGAGAGTCAGTCAGTTAGTCATAATAAACATAGAGTATGACACAAATATGGGTCAGCACTACAAGATAAAATCAACACGAGGAATAGCAAAACAGTTGAAATAGGCGCAGTTGTTATGATGAAGATTGAACGTCGGAAAATATGGTCAGGAATGCCAAATCCTCAAAATCAAACGTATTCTGGTGAAATTGGTCTTGGAATTCGTTATGAAGTTAACTATCAATTCATTTTGAATTTTTCAAAAGTCATTCAGGATGAAGCTAGCCAGTTGATTTAAAGACATTTCCATAGTATTTATAACTTCAGTGTAATTTGTGCAAATTTGACCAATTTCTGCAATTAATAATCTTTTAATTAATCGATATATAGCTGAATAAACTTGGATGTAATCCAATTCTTCCAGGGTCTCTATCAAGAAAAGCTCCTGTACAAGTTTCGATGTCTTACTTAGCTGACCGGTAGGATTGAACCAGTCTCATTCATCGTATTGGAGTTGTAGTTGTCAATATTTACCGAAGTATACAAATGTATCAACATTACTAGGCGTACAACTCCCCTCTAAATATTAAAAACACTAAGTTCAGTGAACGGATCTATTTTCAACGAAGGTATTATCAAGCTGTACAGCTGTATACTAAATATTCAAATTGGAGTGAGAATAATGAAATAAAACACTGAAACAAAAGATGCATTTTTAGTTAGAAGGAATATTAACACGTACTATATCGAATATAACTTACAATTTCTTGTGAAACGATAATAAACCTCTGAAGTATTTTTAGCAGCTTGTCTGGTCAGACCGAAATCTCCGATTTTCACAGTACGATCCGCAGCAACAAGACAATTTCGACATGCTATATCTCGATGAATTAAATGCTTACTATGTAGGTAGGCTAAACCTTGGCCAATATCCATACTCATTTGAGTAAGAGTTGATGGTCGTATGTCTTCATGGTTTGGTGATCTATAAGAAATTTGCAACCAAGAAAGTATAATTCAACATAAAATGGACAAACAAGGACATAGAAATAGTCAATCGACAAGTTATTTACACACTTGTTACGTTATTCAACAAGTTAATAAGATCATGAAGTTAACGTACCACAAATTACCACTGACGAAAAGACAAACTTTTAACCATTTCGGAGAAACAGGTTAGAAATGCTCAATAATTTAACAAAAAGATTTTCAGCTATATTACTACTATGACTAGTTGGAATATTCGTATCTGAATCAAAGGTATACATTCAAGAGAAAACGGTCGGAAACAATGATATAGAAATAAAGAAAAGTTTCACATCCCTGATGACTTTCAGTAAGAAATTGGTAAAACATGATTTTAAAGAATAATATGATGCTAACACCTACAGACATTACCAGTAATTTCTAATCAATTATTTTCAAGATTAAGATAAATCTGTGCAGATCACACAAACAATACACAGCTAGGAAAATAGAATAACATATCACCTAGATGGTCCGGAAAAAGTAACTAAAACCATATGATGAACTGTTTTCAGTAGTCACAGAAAGACTTTAATGAAGGATGCTGAAGTAACCAAACGCCAACTTCTTAGACGTTCCAACTTCAACTTCAGACTTACTCTACTTGAATACAAATTCGATGGATACACAAAACGAACCCTTTCAAACCGAGTTTCTACGCATATTATGTGGCTACGTAGATCTGCTAAGAAGTGATCAGATGACCTACCTCGTTCTTATTACATGTCAGTTGTTTATTTAAAGAATAACCTCGATGACATTTGCCATAGCCTTTGTTGTTAGCTGATTGGTTATGAGTACCAATGTTATTGTGTGTTACCACAAAAGCAAAGTTGTTCGTTTTCAATTTCTAACTTCTGTACAGAATGTAAAGTCATCAATCACTAATGTCGAGTTTGAACAAGATCAATTAACAGATCAGTACTTGAAGCGATAGTGAAATCCAGTTACATAATTTCATCAAAGTAATTTTACGTTAATATGGTTTAAAACATTTCACTTCATTTGAATACTTTAATATTAATTCTCACTATGCTAACATTTTTTGTATTATTCATTGCCGTTTCTACATATGTTAATTTACAACTTGGATTTCACTTTTTCCATCTGTAAAGTAATCTTTGATAAATTTATCGGTATATTTGATGATAACGTACGCTCACTTTCCTGTTTCATCATCTTAAAGGTAATTTTACAGCATCTTTTAGACTGTATTCTTTAAAGTGTATTGGGCATTGACGATTAAAGAATCTTGATGACAGACAATTATTTTAGTGATAAAATTCAAGTTATTAAAAACGACATAAACATCAATTTGTCTTTTATTTAACTTGATGGGTACTTTATCTTTCTATCGCATCTTAAGACTATGTTGAACGTCAAAATGGAATTCAAATCTTAGTTGAGTAACTAATGATCAGACACCTGAAATAACTTGTCGGATTACGAAAATATACATATAAGGAATATGTTCATGGTTCACTACTTATTTTCAAGATAATTCACACTAAATACGCTGTTAAATTTATTTGGAACATTTTCTATTACAGATTTTGTCAAGCACAAAACGGTAGTGAATCATAATTTAATACTAAATATAGATCCATGATTTCTAAAAAGATACCATTGTATCGAACATGAGACAACGAAACCAGAAACATGATCGTTTACCTTTGAGCTAAAATTCGACGGGATAATAAATATGTTTTTAAATCTCCTAGAAGCATGAGTTCCATAATCAGGTATAGACTTGCTTTTGGATTCAAGGAGATACCAATTAAACGAACAACGTTTGGATGATTTAAAGAACGCATTAATTTTGCTTCAGAAAGAAAATCAATTTTCCCTTCATAAGTTGCTTTCTCATTAATTACTTTCACAGCAACTGCTTCCCATAAATCACTTTTTTTAGCTTCACCACCGAATACTAAACCGAAGGCACCTTGACCAACTCGACGATTTAAAACAATATTTTCAGCAGGCATCTATAAAATGGCATTGAAAAATGAAAGACGAAAAGGATGGAATCGCAAACACTGTTATAATTTTGACTACTACTAATGCTACATCAACTCGTACTACGACTGTTTCTCATGATAAATAAAGGGAATATTTATGTGTATGCGACGTAAAGTAGGAAATCATGGGCATAAAAAAACAGAAATTGGAAGAATGACTAACCTACAAGAAGGTCTGTAACACAAATTGTATATATTTATACAATATATATCGGAATTCGAACATTCAAATAATTAGATGTGGAATATGTTCAACAGACCGTGATGTTTTATACATTTATTTCATATTTATAAGACATTAAACAAACGAACTAGTAATTAATGAAGAATCCCTGAAAAACTATGCGAATCAAAACTTGCTGAGAATAAACGACTAATGGCTTGCTCTACATCACTATATATTTCAGAACTAGACTCCCTGTGTTAATTTTGGTGGAGAACAGTTGGTAAGGTCAGCAGGACAGCTGTAAACATTGGTTGATCACTGAATAGTGGACATTCACATATTTGTTTACTGTTGATCATATTCTATGGATAATGTGGCACTGTGATCGTTAATCTCGATGGCTTGAGATCTGATGAACGATTTTGTGTAAGGTGGTCGAAAGTGACCAACAGGGAACTCTGGACCTATGTTTTGTGATAATTGGCACGCGTCAGCATGGTAGACCTACGATCTTTAGAGAACCCATTCACCTTGATGGATTCGCACTCGGATCATCTAGGTTCAGTATTTCCTGCCGATTACTTTCGGTCGGCGAGGATTAAAATATAATACACGAAAGGTTGAGTCTATCAAGAAAACAAATACATAACTCAGCTGTTAGTTATAGATTTCATTTAAAGTAGTTAATTTACTGATGTTGCAACTTATACATATGAAGAAGGAATAATTGATTAATTTATATCAACTGCTACCAGTTTGATGTATTCGGATTAATCTATTGACCGAATATTTTACGACTCATCTCAATGTAATTTTTGATGTCTTTTTGATCAGTTATAGATTTGCGGTTGCTGTATAATAAACATGTCATTTGCAATTTTACTTTTCTTCCTTAAGTTGAGCAATAGCAGTCTTTGCTCTATTATATAGTAAGAAGTAGACAGTTGTGTCTGAAATCATAACAAGTAGCAATACAAGCATTTTGTCAAGTCGAGTCTTTTGGACCAGCAGTCATAATGCAACATTGCCGATAGAGTATGGTCAACACAGGAATAGACACACGTGAAGTCGGCTGATAATCCGTGACCAATCAATGAAGATGCTTTAGTTGCCCGGGATCTGACTCCAGTTAGATCGGAAAATGATCGTTATTGAATGATTGCTGTCGAACTATACATCCTGACAAATCTCGTAAATAATCATCGACTTAATCCACGTCAGTAAATAACGAAACTAAATAAGTCAAATACGAGGATGGATGTTTGGATATGTATATTTTGTACACTCAATGATCTGGACAGGAAATCAGATGGATGAAGCGAATAGAAAAGAACGAAGCGAAATGACGCGCGGTGGAGGCGTGTGAGTCAACTCCACTTAATCAAGCGTTAATCAATATTTATAATCACACAAAAATAAGTTAAAGACATGTGAGGTATAGGATAAGAAGTGCACACACATACGCCCATATAAAAAAAGTCAAGGTTGATAAGTCAATAATTAGCAAGGTCAAAACGTGACTCAAAAAGAATGGATAAACTGGCATGTCCAGAAGCTAGAATAAGGTATGTGGGTTTAACATAGTAACTGACACTACAATGTCATGGTCCTATTGGAAGTCAGTTGTGACTCGAAAAGTAAGACAGTAACCTCTCAAACTGTGGATATGAGTGACAAGGGTTCAGATCAATCAGGGGAGGTCAGCTTTCAATTGGTTGAAGGTATGCTTTGCTGACGAGTGTCAACTAGCATGAAACGTAGGTCCAGGATTTTCTGACAACTACCTCCAACCATCTAACGTCATTGAATGTATTTTAATAGCATTACTTTGACACTAGTTTAATTGTAACCGAAATGAAACTACAAAAATAGACCAAACGGGAAATATTATATCATTATACTAAAAGAGGAACAATCCGAAATATATCTAGTGTTAGGAAAACAGTTGATAGCAAAAAGACATAAATCTACAAAATCCCATAACTTACATCTAAATCAGCCAATTCTGTGCATAGTTCTTCAAAAGGTTTACGAGTTCGATTTTCAATTTCTTTTAATTTACGTCGATAATAAAAATGAGCAAATATAATCAGTGGCAATAAAACTAAAACGGTAACAGTAACAGTGACAAATACAGTAGCACCTGTACAACCCATATGTAATTGATTACTAAGAAATGATAATGTACAATTTTTTTCATTGATAGAACCATCATTTGGTGGACCACCTAATGTATGCCAATTAACGTGGTCTAACCAACGTTCAGTCATCCGTTTCTGAAATTCATCGTATAGAAATGGAGCATTGGTTGTTTTCCAATCATACTTGTTTGACATATTATTTGATGAAATCATATGACTGAATGGATCATATGATTGTTGTTGTTGATCTTGCTCGTGTACTTCTTCATAGTTTTTTGTTGACCACATTATAATCGGTACAGTAGTATTTAAATGTCTTTGTTTCAACAGCCAATAATCAGCAATACGTTCATTATGATCATTAAATCGCAAATTTGATGCTGAAGCAGGACTTTGACTGCGTATACCATAATAGTCACCAGCAAGTTGAAATCCAGCATCTACACCAAAATTATCATCATTGATACCTGGAACAAGTTCATTTATTTCACTAGATTGTCCAGTTGTTGAATTATCTGTCTGAAATCGATAACCAAAATTTGTTCGTGCAACAAGTGTTCGAAGAGTTTCAGATACATCAGGATGATTAAGAGCAGATGCTGCAGCAGGATTTTCTCGTAAAAGATGAACAACAGCACTTGCTAGTAGGATAACAGCATCATAAGTATACACAGTGTAATCATGAAGAGGATCTTTGATTAATTTACGTTTTGAGTGATCACTGAATGTAGATTTCCCAAAATCATTTGGATTGGGATTATGTTTAGTTCTTGATAAGACAGGTGGTACTTCTAACCTTTGTGACTGAACAAAAACATGGCGTCTGCGTCGTATTTGTTCAGATGAAGTTCGATTCGGAGTGCCACTTGAATTATTTCCAGACTTAGAGTCTGAATCCATAAACTCACTAGTACGAGGAATAAAACTGTGCACCATAGGACCAATTAACAACTGGTGTCCAACAGTAAAAGTCCACGAAGTAATATTGAGCATTTCACTAAAATTACACTCAGTATTTCGGCCAACCAATTCCGACCACCATTGATCAGAAAGCCATGGATTCAAAAACCAAACGTATCCAGCGGAAAAATACATCCCTTCATGATATGCTGCACAGAGTATCAAATAGGTACCACGTGCATCGTACTCGACAACAAATATGCGACTGTTCTGTTGTTTTAATTCTTCTAAAGTCTGTAAGATGAACAAATCATAAGAATGACTCGATAAAACGCACGAAGAAAGAAAAGAGGTAGCAGATAAAATTCCAGAAAGTGGTTTTCGCCATGCAAGTATTATCAAATTTAATACATACATGAGTATGTGTACAAATTAGTGTGACTTGTACTAGTTAGAAAGTATAGTAATCACAATATGGGAGTCAAATACACTTCAAGTAACTTGTAACTGTACTAATATTAGTCCAATAAAATGTAGTCCTTTCACTGAAACGCGTATTTCACATGGAGGTTTATGTACTCAGCTTGAAGCTACACAGAGTGATGGCTTAATAGTTAAGGAGTTTTAGTTTTAGTCACTAAGTCCCATATTATAATTCTGCTCCCCCTACTTCAGTTAAGGTAATTGAGTAGCACCATCAGCTCTTATATGGCTCACACCCAAGTACCTATTAGATAAGTTAAAACTATATGCAGAACGACGTACAGAAAATTCATACTTACATCTTTTGCCAGTTTATAAGTTAACTGTTGTTCATCCATTTCAATATTGGCAATAATTTCGATTCCCTTTGCTTGAAATAATAAAGGTTCAAAAAAATGATCCGATTTACGAAATACAACTATTCGATGCCAACCCCATACTAGAAATAATCGAAGTAGTATAAAACTGAAAAATAAAGAAACAAACAAAAAAAGAAAAGAAACATTCTTATTTAAGAAAGTATTATTGAGTGCTAAATTTAAGTCGAAGATTTTTTCATTTAGAAGCTCGAGTTTAATGGTTGAATTTCAAGAGATGTACACATGAGTTCATTTCATATCACAGAAGATTTAGCACTTCATGATTTAAAAATCCAGTTGTATATACCAAACTAATTTATTAAATCCTTCTGTTTACGATGATCGGAATAATGAACTTTCACTTTTACATAAAAAATATTTCTATTTATCTGTAATTCATCATTATTGACATTATAATGCAAGGTTTTTCCTACTCAGAATTTTTTATTAGTATCTACACATCTCTTTCATCTCGGTTTAACAACAATCATAATTATTCGACGCTTGTCCTGATAATTAAATATTTCATACTATACATAAATCCCGATTTTAAATGACATGGTTCAAAATTGTTTGCAATGGCGCAGGTGCATCCGCTCTTTGTGTTCTCCCAAATTCTAATCTTCTGAATAATGCATGTCTCGTTTTTTTCTCTTCCCAAATTTATTTCACTGGATTATACTCCTCAAATAACATCCTCAAACCCTAATCTTTCCGCTTACTGCTTGTACTTTAACTACCACTATGGGATTTGAATCGACAATTGTATCTCTCTGCTAATGTGGTATGGCAACTCGAACTGATGTACCTACGTACGAAGTCTAAGTTGTTGCTGACTGACCCTCCTTAGCACTTAATTCATCACCTATTTGAAATTATGTGGGGAGATATTAAATTCCATTACAACTCATCAAATCCTAACAAGTATTATCCAATGACCTATAATTTATCATTTACAATTGTACAGTTTTGCAGAATGCACTTGCTGAAAAGGAAACCTACATTAAGTTCATTATTTTAAAATAGATTGATAGAATTTCGAATAATTAATCTAAGAGTAAAACAGGAGAATAGTATATTTAAGATTCATATTGTGCCAACATAGAGATTGGACATTCAAAGCAGCTGTAACAACTATACTTACAAGTTTAAAAGGGGTTAGTGATGAACGACCTGAAACAAAAAAAACACTGGCACTTTATTAATTGAGAAATTCTTGCCAGGATTCCAAACAGTAATCTGAATTATAAATTACTGACAACAAAAATGTTTCATTACAAATTATTAATTAATATTTTACCTAAAAGTATATAAAAATTAGACTTTTTATTAGAAATCACACTTGAATGTAATTGACTTTCAAGTCAGAAGACAAAATTCATTTCGTTAGTTTGACAGTCATAAATCATTAAGTCATGTATTGTTATACATGACTTTTAAGCATAGAAATAATATTTGAATAAATATTTAGAATTTAAGCTTTATATAAACGTTATGATCACTTACTTAGCCAAAGTCATTGATGGTACTGTACGAAAGAAGTAATGATATTGTTGCTGTTCCAGAAAACGTGCACTACCTACTGTTGGACTGACAATAATCTGTTTGCGAATATTTGCCAATTCAACTACAGCTTCTATAGAATCTGAGCATAGAGCAGCTAATAAAAAAAGTGGATAGACCATACATTATAATAAAACAAAATAATGTTGATAAAATTCAGAATACAAAGAAGAACGTCAAACAGGGAATGGGACTGGTTGTCTAGCAGATTAGAGTTTATATAATTGCCGTGAAAGAGATGGGATCGATTACTAGTAAAGTGCTCTTGGTGACAGGGAAGAAGGAAAAGAACTGTTGAAATAAAGGAGAAAAAACTGATAGTATCGATGATAATGACTTGTTTCATAAAGTACATCTACTATTTCTTGATATAGTGAAAAAATAATATTACACTACATAAACAGACTGTGAAGTGTAACCACCAAGTAGTGAGTCTACACATATGCATCGTATCATACTAAATTTGATATCTCTTTTCAGGAAAAGAAATAACCGTTACATGCTTTACGCTGAGAAGTTTACGTGCAATTATTCAACTAATCTATTTTTTAGAGAAGACCACTAATTTAAAAAGGAAATAATCTACTCCTATAAACCTTTTATGAAATAAGCTGCAAAAGATCAAGTGCTGTCTGCTTGCTTAAACCCTAATATTAACGACAATACAACCATAAACATTTACAGAAGAAATTAGTTTGACGTGAGGGTTGAAGGCACCATGTCCCATTTCTGCTGGAGTTATAGTTAGACTGATAACGTTTGAACTGTAAGGTTTTACAGACAAACAAGGAATATAAGCCTTGCAGTTACAAATCTATTCAACAGTGAATATGAACTGATTTATATCACATCTAACTCATCGCTTTAGTAAAATCTACGATGACAAATTAAAAAAAACCAGTACAGTTAACAACATTTTATTTAGGAAAATCAAAAGTAACTTTTAAAATATCGTAAAACGTTTATCAAATCCTACCGATAGAACCAATAAGACGAGTGTTGACAGCATTCTCCAACACTTTAAAATAATCACTTAACACGACGTCAGGTTCACATGTTAAATTACGTACATCCAAACTTAATGCATATTCAGAATTGCGAAAATAATCTGAGTCGGCGTTGACAAAATTCATAGCTTCTTGAGCCACTAGATAGTTATGAAGCGAAATTAAAGTTTAAAAAAAATCAACTAAGTTCATTGGGAGAGAATACAGATATAAGCAGAATGAAACAAAGAAACACCAAATACTATTAAACGAATGTTATATAGCGACAATCTTTAATAGTAACGAAAAAAACTCTACATTCCTCTAAAATTCGAAACAGCCTTGTTTGGTATCACAGTAAGAAAATATAGTCGTGACATTCTAGTTATTCATAAAATTACTGACAAACGGTATTATGAAGAGAATCTAAACCTTTAAACAACCTATAAGCATTTAAAACATATGGTCATATTTTAAGAAACTCTGTATGACAATATTTATGCAACAGAATAATTTATACTTATGAAAAGAACTGACCTCGATCAAGACCATACAGCACCCATTTCCCATACATACTGAACAGGCCAGCTACTGTTAAGTTAAGTTTTTTGTCCCAATCAACTGTCCAACTTTTCCATTTAGTTGGATTCTGACGGAGCCACCGACATGCAACTTGTTTATATGTTGACTGACGATCTATATGTGAGTCGAGTAGCGCCTAAAATAACAAAAGTTGCGAATAATAGTCACAGTCAATAATCGTGCATTTAAAAGTTGGAAGCTTCATTTTATACACACATAAAAATATCAATCAAATGCTTATTTTAGCCATGTCATATAAATAAGAATTTTATTTCAAAATATACTGCTCCGTAGATGGCAATAACGTTAGTAACTACTACCATTCCATACTTTCTTTAGATGAAAATATGAGTAGAATATACAACTCATAAATGGGGCCGATTTAGATAATGAATGATGTTGAACAATATATGAACCTCATCGTTGGTTTAACAGATGATCACAATCAGTGGGTGTAGATCAGCAATAACTTGGCTTAAAATAATTTTTTTTTTAAATAAACATTTACTAAATCTCACGGTTGTCAAAGCTGAAAATCAAATAGCCTGAAATCCGCCTTTTATTTTATGCAATTTCGGAAGCATCTAACTTCAGAGACCTGAAAAAGCCAAGCTTGAGATGTAAAACTTGTAAAATTCAAGTGAACACAATAATAGAAACAAATTATTACGTGAATACATATTCACGAACCATTTTTAACAAGAAGTTTGAAAAAAATAAGGAAATGTTTTTATAAATACGAATAAGAGAAACCATTTTTTATCAAGTCGAGTGGGTATACAGATAGATCATAACAAAATCTCAGTGAAATCATTTATCATTAATTTGATAGTGATATGACGGAGTAGAATGATACAATAAAAACAATATAGATTGACAGCCAAAATATGATTAATTCCGACGAAATCTTACATTGACTTTACGAATAATATCAGTGAACACGACCTAGTGATAATGATTGTGAAAAGTACTTAATAAAAAAAGGGAAATTCTTTTACCTGATCACAAATTATGAAAGGGAAATAATGATGAGACTTACGTGTTAACTTAAAGAAATAAATTGCTCAGTAGTATTATTCGAATTACGTGACAGGATGGATTAAATCAGTGATATTACATGGTTATGACAAAATGTGACAACTCGATGAGTTATTCATTATTTATTTGAACACATAAATATTGGTACAAAGGGGCACCGCAAACATATGCACCACACAAGTCACTTGATTTGTGTGTGAAGTGCGATACTGCCCGGGTGCCCAGACCGAACCAGGTGCTTTTTTAGGGGCCCATACCCAGAGCCTTCGACCTAAAGGTCTGATCCACAGGGCAATCGGGCAACGTTAAGAGATGTAGTCACATGGTAACCGGTGACCAGTATTTGGTTCATACGCCATTTGTTCCTTCAGGATCCCGGAGCTCATATGCACTATTGGTTTGGAATCAGGGTTTTCCAACTCCCGTGGGTGGATCCTTCATATCCAAAAACACGGTTAAAGTGCCAGACGTTCGCTATTCGTCCTCTCATTGTCACAAACAACACCCTAGCCACGAGAAGGCAGTGAGTAGGACTTCCGTGGCAGTATCTGTATACGCGTGGCAATGTGACAGCTGACTTCCCCCACCCTCGGTCGTACCAGGGCATTTAGGGGTCCCAATGGTAATCAAACTGACAGGCAGAGAGCTTCGATGAGTATTATTTCATTGTTGTAAGTCATATATATATATATATATATATATAATTCATTTCCTTTTTACTAACTTTTGAAGTGAAGAAACACCTCCTAATACTTTGAAGTGTTGATATCTATTCTAGATAATTCTCACTATAGAGAAAACAGTTGATGTCTTGAAACTATTCAAGCTAAATAACTGGTTGGTAAATGAGCAATATTTATGGAATTTTGTTGTAAAAATGTTTCAATCACTAAGTCTAATTGTTTATTTCTTCAGTATTATGGTTATTGTATTATGTATTCAATAGGAGAAAGGTTGTTTAATTGTTTTTCTGAATCGACGGTAAATCTTTTGTTGTGGTACACGAATGATATTGGATTTCTTTGCTGCTTAGAATATTTGATTTGGTCGTTTTAAAAATTTCTTACCAACCTTTGTAATTTTTGATTAAATTATTTACTGACATCGATTACGTTTTAAACATACAGAGTAAATTAACCTTTCGATGAATATTTCTTTTGTCTACTTAACTGAAATACCTATGCATCATTCAGATAAATTTTGACATAAGGTTAGGTTTATTTTAGTTTTTAAAGAGTCAATGAAGAAGAAATAAGACCTACTTACTTATACCATTCGTTAATGTTTTTGGATTGCTCACTGTTACTCTAAGTAATTAATACACGCTCTTTTTAAGAAATATGATTCAAAAAAGCTTAATGTATTCGATTGCGATGCTCCTTACTTTCCTAAACAAAAGTTAGGATAAAAGTTGAAACATAACTTAATGGTTAGTAGTCGACTAACTTGACCATCCAGTCACAACCACACTTACCCCTATAAAGGAAGTCAATCAATTAAATTTTCAACAGTCTAATTATTTAAAGCACTCACATTTCATGCAATCTCAAGAAGTTTACTTTCCAAGAAGATGGAATCATATATAAAGTACAATTACACAACTACTAAAATAAATGACAAGGACTATATAATTATTGTATCTTTATGATCTTCCAACATCCTTGGCAATTGCCCCTCGAGATTTTGTCCATGTAGCAAAATAATTCTTATGTATGAGAAATTATGGCACACAGTATTGGTGATTATGGAACTTCCCGTTTAATCAATGGAAAGGATTATCGTAACCATGGCTCAAAGTTGTTTGCAATGACGCAGATGCATCCATTTTTTGTCTTCCCTAAAATCCTGAGGTTCTAAATTCCTCAAAACGTTTTTTTTTATTTCACTTACATTTTCGTTCCGAGTCGTATCTTCGATGCCTAACTTTTCCTATTATCGCTGATACGGTTACTCCATCTACTGTTCTGGGATTTGGCCTGACAACTTTATCTCTCTGTGCTTATGAGACATGGCAACTTGAGCCGATGTACATATGTACAGGTTCTATGTTGCGACTGACTGACTGGCTGACTCAATGGGAAACAATCTGAATATCATTCGAAATGCTATGACCACTACCATACTTCAAAGAATCCTAGAAATGGGTAAGAACACTTTTTAGTATTAGAAAGATGATCATTAAAAATATCACGTATAATTGCTGCTGCCGCTTTTGCTAACGTTAACTTTAACAGTAAATTAATGATAAAATCATTCATGTTTTAACTTTTATTATCTATTTGAATATTTCGATTTGTCATTAGTCAACTGAAAATTTCATTGAGAATGCTTCAAATTTTGAAAATTTTAAAGTGACAAAATAAAACCGATAATAACAACAGTAACACTAGTTTTCAGAAAGTGTTAACTGGGTAGTCGCTTCGGAATGATAATAATTCAATGTATCTAAACCAAATATGTTATTCAACCTATCTCTAGATTACTGTAGAAAAATATAGGAATGTACATTGCTGTTGATGGAGAAAACAAGTTTTTGAGGAATATCATATTTGGTACCGACTGATGTTAATTTGTGCTTCAACTAATTTGAAATAATAGAACTATATGTACACATTGAATAACAAAGCATGAATGTAAAGGTTTGATAATTCGCAATTGATCTCGCTTACAATAATATTTAAAATCAACATTGAGAAAGGATTAACATTAATAAGCCGTAAACACCAGATACTGTAAAAACAAATATATATACGTCCACCAGTAAGAAACTATTTGGTATATATATATATATAATTGTATGATAACATACCGAGTGGACCAGTTCTCCCAACTCATCATGAGACATATACATTTTAGATGCAAGTTGAAAAATTTGTGGAGCTGCCGTCCGTAATTTAGCCCATGTCACTTTAACAGCTTGATAAGATTCAGTGTGGCAATATTGATAACTATTAGGTGAGGTAGATTTTGTATCAGTACTGCATAAAGGGGGTGGAGGAATACTATAAGAATTATACCGTAAACATGTTGAATTTAATTCAAAATCCAAAATAGTTACTGACTTCCCAGAGAGTAAAGTATGATTATTGTATAAATCTGAACCATGTGCATTTTCCGTTCGATGACCTGAGTAGTCTGGTAAAAGGAAAATAAGACTTTTTAAAGAGATGAAATTTTCGCTGACTGACAAAATTCAAATAAATATTAACTCGCGATCGGAAAAAAATTATATATGTAGTCAGTCATCTTATGTAATATAATACGATTAATTTTACAGAATCTGAAAGATAAGATAACCAAATCGGTAATCTATGCTAGGACACATACCCATATTACATGTCTTTAGAGCTAATTATCAAGTTCTTAAGTGTTCATAAGTAGTGATTATTAGTTTGACAAACTTCTGTCGAAAAGTCACTTTTTCTAGTATAATAATGAAAAATTCATAAAAGCAACTTAATCAAATATCGACAGCTGTTTGGTTTACTAGATCTGCATTTCAGATTAAGAGGGATTATGAAGTAACTACTGAACTTATGTGAAACTGTTTACATATTGCTCTGTGTTTTAGTGACATGAACCAGGACAAGTTATTTTTTCATTGTATGAATAAAAATAATGTGCATTTATTTCTGTACCTTACAGATCACATAAAGTTAAATTTGTCAAGTACATATCGCAAAAATGCTACTACGAAGATGCGTTTACCTATCTAACTGAAATCATAAATGTGAATTCCACTTCTAACTCTACCCAAAGTCAATTGAAGATTAATATCAACAGAAAATTATCTGGATGGAATTACTACCTAAATCATAAAGTGTGCCATAGATTTAAGAATATTTTTATTGAGCAGACCATCTACTTTATGTGATATGATGGAGTACAGACTTCAACCATGTGAGATACTTGGGAGATAACTCAGTAAGACCATTAAATGAGCTTTCAGATAATAAAGTTAAATGCTAATGCAACGAGTCCTTAATTATCAATACGACAAAGTGATTTGTTCAGTATATATATATATATATATATATATATATATATATATATATATATATATATATCTTATCACATATTTTCAAGCTTTAGGTATAAGTTGGAGAAAATCACAAGTCCTAGGATTTCAGAAGTTAGTCCTTCTATATCGAAGAACATACTTTCATAATTTATCAGCCATAGATTAATCTGTATGAATATACTGTGATATCAAAAATGAGAGATACATGATGACTTAGCAACCAAAGGATTTACTTAATCCCAAAAGTAAAGATTTATTTACTACAAATATAGTAGTATTTCACAATCTTAGATCTGTCTATCCTCCTTCTTTAGATTCACTTACCTATTTTTCATTAATGCTGTTATACTTTATTATACCACTTAGAAGTGTAGCTACATAAATTAACATATCAAACGTCATGTATAGAATGTTAAGTTGACTTTATATAAATAAACTCATGTATTCAAACAAATACCATTGAAACGACCGACTGTATATACGTCATGATATAAGGTATACGAAGAGAATCACTCTACAATGAGAAACGAAGCAATATTAAGTTAGGAGAGACAATGCGAATTTCTTGGCGTGAAGCTTCTAGACAAAGTATGGAAAACATTAGAGAAACATAATTCAACACAAAGATATATTATTCGACCAATCATGAATACAAGTATTAAAAATAGTCATGACGTGAGAACTGCGCTAATTTAATTAAAAAGTAAGAGAAAATTATGCTAAATTTAGTGTAAGATTTACTTACTTTGACCAAGGATGTCAATAGGTGAGCTACAATCATGTTTAAGAGAAGTATAGTTTGGATTTCCTCTGAGATGCGATTTGTTGTAGCAGGACTGAAAAAGAATGATGTAGAATATGAGCGCCATCAATGCGAATAAGAATCTTACTGATGACCATTCTAAATAGTCTGAAAATTATTCGTATTTTATACATCCTGAATTTACTCAATATGTTATATAAATATTATATACTCAAGGAAATTACTTGATTGAAGACTCTTAATAGCGAATTATAAGTTGTGAAAAATTGAAGGTCAACTGATTTTCTGAATTATGCATGAAATAAGCTAGCACAGTAATCTACTTGTCATAAACAATCAAAGCATTAGGTGAATAAGGGTAAACCGAATAATAGTTAGGTAATACAATGTAAATACTAGAGATAATAAGCAACGTAAATACATGCATAACTAAAATGTAAACAGTGTTATTCATTGTGTAATGCAGCTCGCTAGTTTACTTATTTATTACAAGCTGAGAAAACACATCTAGCTTTTGGTAAGGCACACAATATTGATTGTTCTGAAAGCTTATCCAACAATCGTACCACAGGATAAAATCAGATTCATACACTTGCTGATAGTGCTACAGGTACAGACAACGTAAAACCTGATAGCATCACTAGTCGAGCAAAAATTGTAGCTTGATATCAATTTTGAGAAGCTTCAAACAGTTATAAATTTCAATTACTTACAAATAACAAAGCGTTGAAAACAGATATAGATCTTCAAACTTAATTAATTAATGGATTAAAAACCAATAGGTAGGCAGTATAATCTGAGAAAATGTTATATTTACTTGTGTTAGGAGTTTCCAAGAACGAATCGGCCCAAGAGGACCATGGTCAGTAACAGAAGAAGGTTTTGCCCAGAATTTAACATTTCCACCAAGTGGTAACCAAAGCAGTAAGTTAAGGTGAATTTCAGGTAACTTTAGACATCTGAAATCAAGTACAAATAATGGAGTGAACCAGATTTTAAAATTTTTACCAGCAAACGATTGCAGTTGTTAGTACGGTAAGTGTAAATATTTTTAATGTAGAATTTCAGTTACTCAGAAGTGTTAAAATACACTACACTGTTGCAAAACAAGTGACTGCAGACACAGGAAATAAACAATAAGTATTTTATTTAGTGGCATAAGACAAAGTATTTTACCTGCAATAAGCAGTAAAGTGTATTAATACAAGCAGAATATTCCGAGACACCGAAATTATTCTGGAGATAGCACAACCATTTATGGCTATACAACTGAAAAAGCGGAATAGTAAGGCAGTGACTGGTTTAATGTTAGCTTAGTTGATGGATTATTCTTAGGCCAAAGACTAGGGGACGGGTAACCTGTAGAAACTACCTGAGTTTTCGGATCGCACTCCAACCGACAAGAGAAGGGAATGCTTGGAAAAGAAAAGTTCTATCTATAAATTCCTTGCTACTGGCAAACTTAGATATGTTTAGAAACGTATAGAAGTGTCCGATCCGGTCACAACTTGTTCGTGTATCTTATTTTGGCTAATAACAACAATTATGGTTTTAAGATTAGAAACTGATGTGACAGTAATTCGCCCAAATGGCCACTTATGAGAACTTCTAGATTAAAGGCAGTGAAATTAAAGCATGGCGTTTAACTAATTTACGGGGAAAACTTTTCATTTAAATAAGTAATAAGAAAGTCGGGTTTACATAGCAAAGCAAGCAAAAAATAGCGTTCATGAGAGCGCTAAAAATCACTCCATGACATTAAAACTCATGATAGTAATGCAAATCTACTACAATACGACGAATATTCTGTTTGAACTTACTGAGTATCAGGACATTGAAGTCTTTTTAGAGAACTGTTAATGTTACTATCTTCGATTGGGACAAACTCTATTTTAGTGTATCCTAATCGTTCTCGAGCTAAGATCTCAAACAAATAATTCACAATCCAATGTTCTGGATTATTAGTGACTTCAAGTCTGAGTGTTAAAACTTTGTTGTTAAAACTGAATGTTCTGTTCCACTTAAGCTTTTCTACAAAAAAATGTTATAAAAAGTGCCATATCGCCCACCAAAAAGTCCAAAGCAGCCGTCGCTAGAAGTACAAGAGCTTTCGTCAATAATCCACAGGAAAGAAAATACTAACACCAATCGCTGATACATCTATTTCTCGCAACAGTTCATTCGTCTTAGCGTGATAAAAATGAATGTGGAGGTTGTTGCCAGGTAGGCAGACAACAAGACGTGCCCATTGAAATGAAATATGCGATTACTGAATTTGTAACATATAAGCCAGGATCGGATAATTTGAAGATAACGTCATCACGTGACACAGGGTCACGTAGCGCCAGATGTGATCATCGCGGCCATTTGAGCTTTGTCCCTCTAATTTTTCAACTTTCAATAAACACGCTGCTATGTTTAGTAACTGTGACTGACTAACTTCCCCGTACGTAAGCATAGATATTTTAAATTCATCAAGGAAATAGGACACTACACTTTTATGAAGCTTTCGGAAAAGATTTCAAGTAAAAAGCTACTTAGATGACCAGTCACGGCGACAGACTTCAAGACTTGACAGTTGATTAAGAGTAGTAGCATTCTTGCGGTACACGTGCTATATTGAATCTAAAGCTTTCTCAAACTAGGTACGTGAAACAATAGTTGGTCATTGCAATACCGTAGAGAAGTAACTTGTCCTATAGATGTCTACAGTATACACGTGTGTATTTCAGCCGTTCACCACTTGATTGAGGAAGTCACGTCAAGAATCCGGTAGTTGTATCCCAATCTACGTGCCTTCTTTGAGTTGGTCCAATACAACTAATAAAGTCAGCGTCAATCTCTAAGTCTCACAAAGCTTTTTATGTGAATGATTTACTGCTTGGTTTTTAAGAATTCTGTGAATTTCGTGGAAGCTGAGTCATTCAAACTACCTTGGATTCGCTTGTGCACTACTTGGTCTCGAATTGTTTAAGCTTGAATTTTTACCTAGATATCCAAAAACCAAACTGAGTTTGTTTCCTGTGTGAATTTATTACGTACACACTTTTTGCCTATTTCGAATCCACCGCTGTTGATTTCACAGGCCCTCTTTCTTCTCCTAGCTTCCTTAGGTGTATGAAATGTAGGTTTTGACGAGCCTCTTATCATTTCATAGTATTCAGAGAGGTAGAAGAACTTATACCATTAACCGTTGAGAAGTATTATGAAGTGTGAACGGTTGGAGTTAGATCAAAATCTATTTTCTTTCCTCAAAAACATCTGTAGTGGCATTGGACAATAGCCACACAATCCACAAAGCTGTGAACACGAGACTACTCAGAAAATAAATATTCAATATTTAACGCCGAGAAATACCTAACAATGGAGAAGGCGCGAACAAGGAATTGAATGGACTGGAGTTGATCGAGTGGCATGGCTCGTCCATGCAGGCGTGGTCCATCTCAATGTTACTTTATATCTTCTATTCATATTAAATATATTGTTCTTTCTCTAGCCTAACCTTGTTCTACAGCATGTATTGGTAATTGATACGATACAGTGAGTTGGTGTAGTCGATGGTGTGACTTCCACGTAAGATCTTATAGATTAGGCAGTTATATCATGACGAATCTACAAATTTAGGATTAGGTCTATTATTAGAGCAGTACTAATATCATAGTAGACCATAATTCCACACATCTACCCTGACTTTTAGTCCTGCGTATAAAACGTAGGCTGAGTATATTTGAAATACTATCACAGTTGGATGCCCAAAACACGTCCTCTAGGTTATTTTTGAATATATGAAGGCGTGGTGTCCTGTATCCAATACATATAAATTCTCTTTCTTTACAAAAGCTCTCCCACAGAAGTGTAAATGCAAATAGTGAGAAAGAAAGATTATTGGTCGGCCGAAACTAGAAGTAACCATACAGAGGTCCTTATATACGTTTGTCTTTTAACAACTATAGCCTTCAAGTGATTTAAGTCTCATCCCTCACTGAGTAAATTCATTCCTTGATCAATCACTAGGATTCACTGTTTAGGCGGTTAGAACAATCGTAATACGTTTGAAAAACGTTCAACCGCCTTGATTTGTCGGGCCAAGGGAACTTTAATTAACCCTAGACAAATCATCTGCCAAGCTAAATAGTTTCTACGAGAGACGGAAACTTTGAATAGTTTACTGAATACCGCTGTGACCAAGACTGACCAATGGACACTAGTCGATTTTACAACAATGTCAGTCTAACGAAGCAGTAATCTTCATTCATATTTCTTCAATCCGTTTTTTACTAATACATTTAGTTTAAGCAGTAATATTACTCGTTCCAGCTGGTCATCAACGAACTATGTTCACTTGGCTATAACGATAAATGTTAAAAGCGTAGTGAGGTTTTGACAAAAGCTTAGAGGTCACACCATTGTCATCCGACTTGAGTAGAACAATCAACCATGTAGACCACCATTATTATGATTTGCAGGTCTGTTGTAATAGAAGAAATTAGAAAGCCTCTTCATCATCTAATTTCTCACAGCTTCAGACCACATTAGTTTAAGTTAAATATTAGTAAGAGAATTATGTGTTCGAAAGTCAACAATTCTTAATGAAACTCCTACAGTCACCTGGAGAGCTTTTCAAAACAATAAAGACCAGTGGTACTGAATAAGTAATTATAATTCGAATGTACCATGCTTCTTCGGAAATTACGGCACCTGGCACAACAAAAAATATTCATAATTTGCTACGGAACGGTTGGCCATTAAAACATCAGACATCCGAAAACCCTGGAATAACGTTATTCCGAAAAACAAAGGCATTGATCATCAAATAGCTCCAAAGCGAGTTGTTCATTATCCGAAAAAATAAACCTCACTGACACTTCGGGAATCACGTGTCTTCACAGAGAAGGATTCGGACCATTAAATTGGACTACAATTTTGAAGAATATGGACAATCAACTTGGGTGCTTACAGTAATCAAAATATGAAGTACGTGAAATATTACTTAACAACCCAAATAATATCAGGGTTCACCAGAACTCATGAAATTTAGACTGTATGGTGACAATCGCTGACAAACCTAAAGAGAAACAAAATGTGTGTCGATATAAATAACTACAAAAGAATCAAAATGCACACAGGAGAACAAGGTAATCGTCATAGGGAAGAACCCGGAAATATTTTGCCACTCGTTCTCGCATGAAAATGCCTTTGGTTCGGATTGAATTTTTTGGTTAAATATACATCGGCTCGACCTATTCGAAACAAACAGGTATTGTCAAACACTTGTGGTCATTTGCCTTGTTGCTACCCAACTGTTTCTGTGTTTTTTTCAGCATCACATTTGAGCTCGCATATGGGACAACTATAAAATGCTTTCCTGGAATTCATAATCCATACCAAACGCCTTGCTGGTGATAATTTATAACAACTTTGTACTTGTTTTACATCTACTTCCTCAAACCTTTATAATCTCTGGTCACTTTATTTCTATGAGCATTACGTTCATAAAATCTCATCAATTTAAACTTTTAATTACCCCAGTGTGTTAATATCCCATTTGTAAGTTTATGTTGTGAATTATTGACTAAGTAGGGCTAGCGAAATATCACTGATTCCTAGCTAAGTCATCCGGCAGTTTGATCAGGGAATATCGAACGGATCATCGATCCCTGTCAAAGTCAAAAACAACCAACGCACATCCCTTAATCGTACACCATGGTCTGGCCCATACGGTGGTGTTTACACTTCCGCCTTTACCTACTTTAACCAATATATTTCTGCAATAACGTCTTTTGTGTTGTGCGGTCTTCAAAACATCTTTAGTACCTTGAGATGACGAAGAAGTGATACACGTTAGGTGCTGACCGTGAGGTGCAATTTGACGTTAGCCGTCGGTCACATACTTCCCGCCTAACTCAAGTAGACCCCCAATCATTCGATAGAGATCATCAGTGTTGACGATCTACAACCATGTCTGTAAAAATGACATAAAGTTGTCACAATAGAAGTAAATGAATTAGATGTCAACCTGCATTTGTACCTGGTTTGTGCTTCGTTTATATGAGTCATAATTACTCTGTTTTGTCAACAATTTGGGTTGGGATTCACCTATGGAATTATGGTCTATTTTGTTATTACTACCTCTTTAATGATAGGCTTTTCTAAGAATTGTAGATTTGTCATTATGCAACTGCCTAGTCTATAAGATCTTACGTGTAAGTTACATCATTGTCTTCATTGACTCATCGTATCATAACAACTGCCAATATATGTTGAAGAACACATTTATTCTAGAGATTATTATTATTACTGGCTTTATTCAATATTATATTTTGGTACAATATAGAATTCTCAGCACAGGGTATTTCAACAAGTTACTTATGCAAACAAAAAATAGTAACAAAGACAAAAAAATATATTTGATATGAACAAAAGAGAAAAGTTACTCAAGAATGTCCACACTTGCAAAGCCGAGTCACGTTACCCGGCTGTAATTTAACGTAACTCTTTTGTAATCGCTGCAGTCTGCTTAGCAACCAACCAGAATGATGCGAGAATCATTATATCCCCCATCTTTGTAAGCAATGGAGGTTGGTTTTCTTCGTTCTGTGTTTGTCCCTTGTTTCTTCTGTTTAGATACATAATTTAATGTTTCAGTGTGCTGAAATTCCGCAGTTAATGTAATATTCTAAATGTTGACGCAAATTCTCTTTCATTCAGATTTGTTTTCTCGGTTTTTGCTGCTGCTACTCAAGTCAGTGTACTTCTTCAAGGAGGCTCGCTAGTCTTATGTCATAAAATGTTAATGAGTTTTATTTTGAGTATTATTTTTTAGATATCGAAAGCCGAAGTTCGTTTTTTTAACTAAAATATGTGTTGCTGACGCATGAAACATTAATTGTCCCCACGTTCCTTCCAAATAGACATTTATGATGTTATCGGGCACAATAAAAAAATGTCGCCGGCTTGTTATTTTCTTAATCATAATGAAAAACCCTAAACCATCAACGAGTCAAACCAATACTGAGTCTTCAGTAGTTGTGGATACCAGTGATGTTTTTAAAAGTGTCATGAGACCTAGGCCGCTGACAAGCTGGTACCACGTCAGAGATGCTAACGATCTGTTGCCGAAGGTTTGTTATCAAAAATACACCATATAAAAGTAATAGATGAGTTGAACACATTACGTCGTACGTAAAAGCGAGCTTGGGATTTCGCCACGACCATGTAGTGTATATTTTGGCCATAAAACGAACCCGGAAGGCCATGGTCAGAGAGTGTTACTATACTTACTTTTCATAGATCAAACTTTTCCGGTTGCACATCCATGTTTCGTTTGTAATATGATGTCAACTTGT